AAATAAAAATACATAAGGCAACACAAGATTGAAAATTAAAAGGAAAAAGAACGTAAAACATATACAATTGCAAGTCACAACAGCCCACGGATTTTTATAACGGAAAAAATATTTGAAGAAAATATATATTAAAATAAATTAATTCCTGACATGAATCCGATAAAAATACTACAACAGGAATAATACAAAAAGCAGCAAATTATTACTTGATCAACTTTTTCTTGGGGCAGTACAATTGTTAATATAGTATTTTTTAAATATAGTATACTATATAGTATGGTTTTAATATAGTATTATATTGTAGTGCCCCGTTAAATTGCTCCCGCCCTGATGATCTGATGAAGCTGCCATATCTGTCAGTGCTTCTACTTCAATTTCCATTTTCATGCCATCCCCTCTGCAGAGGATCAAAATTGTGATGGCATGTCTTCGGATCATCCTCAGGTATGCTTCCCAGACCGTCGCCAATAGCCCATTGTGCAGCTCTAGTGCGACGTAAATGAAACTGAAACTGAAACCATTTTTGTGCTCTCGCTAACATATATGTAAATTGTGTAACAATGGAAGCTAAGTATAATATATATCGGATTCGTAAATTCTCTGAATTATTAACGAATATCAGAATAGTACAGGATTTTCAGTGATAACTGACTTTATTATACATTTTTTGATTCTTTTCAACGATAAGGTAAAAAAGAATGCATATTAGTCGTCGCAAAATAATATTTAAGCAAGGGCAAATCAAAAAAGTTTACGAATCACGACTGTGGAATCGTCAAAACTTGTTTGATTGCCGAAGGAAAAAGAGGGGAATTGAAATACGATTATTAGAAACACTCAAAATTTTTGACACTCAAACTGATGTTGAGGTTATTAATCAAAATTCTATTGAATTAAAACCTTACTTTCAATTAAATGTGGTAACGTTTATTAATTGTTTAAAGAGATATTTTTATTCAACTATCCAACTGAGATACTTTCTGTAAGGATCAAAACTGAAAGCACCTCTTTGCACTTGAAGTACAAGTTTACTGATTCTCGCAAAACATTTGAATTTTTATTATATGTTTATACTGTTGTAGATATGTCGTGTTTAACTTGTCTAACAGTCAGATTTCTTAATATTTCTTTTCGCCCAACTCATTTCAAATTGTTTGAGTGTTATTACACTCAATTAATGTTTTTAAGCGAAGTTTGAGTGTTATTCACTCTCGTTAATTTCATAATTTCAATTTGATCGATGTAGGATGCAATTGTAACTGGAAATTATTTTTCCTTCCTCAGTTTTGGTTCTAGAAATCTCTTCATGTTTAGAAAGACTTTGTATCAAATCTGAAAGATGAAATTATAGTAGCGTTTACAAAAGTCTTGAGGATTCTTCTTGCGAATTAGATTTATTTCTCCTATTTCGAAACTTTATTTTTATAATTTTGAGTGACAAGAAACTGGAAAACAGGTAATAAACAGCATTTTTTTTTTTAAATTGATGATTTCCCAAAGTGATTTTCAGTTATTTGTAATTAAATCGTTATTTTAGTTGCACAGTTTATTTATTTGAAGGTGATGTAAGTCAAAGTTACGTATAGTGACAAATACAAGATTATTTTTTTGTATTTAATCAGTTTTTTTTCCTTTGATGCTGATGTAAGCCAAAGTCTTGTTTTTGATATTTTAGAAGTTAGACAGCCAACATTTTGACCATGTATTTTTCATGCGATAAAGAGGAAAACTAAAACGAAATTTCGAAATTTAGCAATTAACGATGCTCATCGGAATAATTAGCCTAAGTGACAGTAATGCTTAAATATCATATTTTTACTGAGAAACCAGTCTGAAATTAAAACCAAGCGTGTTCTTATTTAAGTAAAAAACAAAAAAAATTAGTCATGCCTATATTTGTAATTACCAAGGTAATGACTGACAGTAATGCTAATTAACATTGTTTATCAAGGTAATTGATAAGTGAAAAATAAAGTATTGGGCTTAACCTAGAAAAGAATCAAGTTGATAAAATTTCAGTTAATTTTTCAGATACTTGGGAGGGGGGGGGGAGGAAATTCCAATTCTTCCGAATGAAATTCCTACTAGAATCGAATCATAAATAAGCAATCATTTTTATTCTTCTTTATTTAATACATTTGATCTAAAATATTCTTGATATTCATAATACCTATAATTAATCTAAACAACGTGAAAAACTATCTGGTAATTATTGGCGTGGTTTTAGGGGCTGGTGAAATTTAAATTTATGCTTATAGTTATTGTTTTATTCCACTATCACTAGAGAAAACTTCTTAAAAAAGTGTGGCAGCAAAATAATAAGTATGCTAAGTAATAAATATGATCATTAGAAAAAAAACTTCTTCAAAAAATTTGACAGGAAAGTAATAAGTATGATCGCTGGAAAAAAAACTTCTTAAAAGTCAATACACAGCTATACAACTTTCCACAACTATTCTTTGTGAACGAAACAATGAGTGACTTTCAAAAACGCAAGATAATATTGCAATAACCAAGGTGATTTTTATCAATTAATTCTTTTGGATAAAGAACACGGATTTACGGTAAAATGTTAGAGCATTTTTTTTCAAATTTAAAACCTATTTTCCACAACTATTCTTTGTGAACGAAATGATATATGATATTATATGCTTTTTTGTATAAAAAACTCACCCTATTTCCTTCACTGTCTGCCTCTTGAACTTGAACTTCATATCTTCTCATCCTGAAAGAAGAAAAAAATATTTTTTTGAAACTATACATTTTTCACTCAGTAGGATTAAAAAGAAGTTTTCAAGAATATTTTATTTTATAACCGACATTGAACAGTCGACCCAATTTAGAGTTTACGACTACCAATATTCAACTCCGATGCCTTGTAATTTTGTACCCAATACAGAAGACAAGGAAACTCCTGGATCAAGTATTCGAAGAAATTTGCCTTCGAGGAGGACTTTTTGACGGAACTAACCCGCTTTTGCATTACATGGAAAGAAAAACCACAAAAAATTGTTGCTAGGGTAAAATCTTCACAATTAGACATTTTAATTAAAAAATTTTAAAACTCTCACAGAAGTTTCTAAACAAGGTTAGGCCGTAATATCTGTTTTTTTCTCCACATATTAGATATCATGCATTTTCTATATTTATATTATTTTCGTGTTTTAATTTGATATGAAATGCTTAAAATATAAAATATTTTATTTCGATTATGTTTTTTATGATTTAATTATGTTTTGCTTTCGGCACTATTTTATTTGCAGGGCATAAACATTAGTGACAAAAAATTGCCAATTTTCGCCAAGGGTCACCCTCAAATATATTTTTACCATTCTCTAGAATGGACCATTCTCTAGAATTCTCTAGAATTGTTCGGAGTTCTGGTTAAATGCATACTGGGCAGTGGTACTTGACCTAACGGTTTTCCCGTTTTAGTGATATTCAGACTATTCTATATCAGTTCAGAATCTCAGTCAAAAATAAATTTATTGAAACTTTTACGTTGAGGAATCGTAAATAATAATTTAACTATAAAAGACTATCAAAATCTGATGAATCATTATGGAGGTCATTCTGAGTGAAAATTGAATTAAAACTACCAAAATCAGTCAATATGTGAGACATAAGTAGGTTTTATGTATTTCGTTTCCATTTTAGATGTGATAACGTCGGTGATGATCTGACGATGCGTCAGATTTTGACAAGTAAATTTAATAAAAAAATCATATATGAAATTTACATAAAATCTAACTATAAGCAACAGGGAATACTATAATAATTCCATTAAAATAGTAGCTATGAATATTTGAGTTTTCTTACTTGCATGGTGAAGTGCAACTTTTTGCACATTCAAATCTCGTTTCCTTCGCAAAGTTCGGAATTGCTAGAGAAAAAAAAAGCACAAATCTCAGAACATGCGTTAAATTTTGCGCCTACAGTTATAAAAGTGATGATGCTAGATAATTGTTTTATTATGAGATATTTATTATTAGGCAAATTACCGGTTAATTACCTTGGAGAAAATACGTTATTGTGCCTGTTTCTTTAACTTAACTAACAGTTAGCACTAATTAATTCGCCTATTTGAGCTCACACTTCTGAACCATTAAGATAAATCTGATCATTAGAACAAAAGATATTAAAAGTGAAAACTTTTTATTTTATTTTGCGTACTGCACTCGTTAATGGAGCCTATTTTAATAAATTTGTTGATTTGAAAGATTCATAAAAATTCATCAAACATTAAATTGGAAATTTTTTCTACGATGGTCACTAATCGCCTTTCTCTAAGATTTGTATGGTTTTTAGAATTAACTTAAGAAAATATTGAGTCAATATCTGATAAGAACATGTCAGAAATTCAATAATCATGCTAATTATTGTCAGTATAACTCAGAAACATATTTATTAAAAAATGTTTTTCTTTATTAAATTTTTATTGTTATTTGTGTAAAAAATTTACTGTCTATTAATTATCTAGATAATTATTGAACTCATGACAAACTTAAATCTTCTCAATTTTCGAACCAAGTAGCTACGTTTGTGTTCCGTATTGTGAAAACTTTCACAGTTGAAAGAAAGTTAAATTTGAATCTTGTTTCGAGTTATAACCTGATTATTTATTTTTTTCCTTTTTTTTTCTTTATGTTTAAGGACATACCTTGTGTATTTTATATCGCGCTGAATGCGCATAAGACTGCGTTGAATAAAAACAACAATCTGCGTTTTGATTTAAAATTTATAGGATATATATTTTGAATAAAAAAAACAGCATACATTATAAACGCAACATCTATTTGTATACAAACGCAGCATATATATGTTACCATGAATGACCGAAATCAAGAGAATGTCGACTTTCACCTGTGAGTGTCGACAATCACACATTCACTTTGGTGAATGTCTGAAATATTTGTTATATCCAATTTCATATTAATTCATTCGTTGATATTATTATATTTATTCGATATTTTAATATCTGCTGAGGTTTGATTAGGAGAAACATCAGTGTTCGGAGTTCTGGTTAAATGCATACTGGGCAGTAGTACTTGTCCTAAAAATTTATTGTAGGGCATACAGGGCAGTAGAACTTAACTAGATCTAATATATATATCGGGCATTTATCAAAGCGACTATGTGATTCTCAACATTCACCAGCGAAAGTCAACAGCCACTAATTTCGGTCATTCATAGTAGCATTTATAAACACAATATTTACTTTACAAGTGCATCATATATATATATATATATATATTATAGAAATGTCTACAATCAACTTACGTTCCAAGCAAATGGTTTCGTTATGTGGGTAATCTATTCTTCGTTCTGCACAATTATAGATATCGAGTGATTTTTCTAGTTTACATTTTTCTTTGCACATCTGTGGATGAAAATAAAACAATTGTTATTACAATTTTTCTTTTTTACGAATGTTTCTCTCAAAAGTTCGTATCATCTACATAAGTTTCGAATGGTTACAGTTATAGTTCTACAAATTGGGCTGCACAAGTAGGTTGGGTTATACAAGTGGGCAAGTTACACAAGTAGGTTGGAATTTTTTTTCTCACTATTCCAGTTGTATATCCATTCCCAATCCCCAAAGTTTTTTTCACTGTTCCAGTCGTTCATCTATTCTCAGCCACTACCGCAGAAACCATACATGTTCTAACACTCCTAGGATGGTCTTGCACTCCTAGGATGGTCTTACACTCTTAGGTTAAGAGGAGATGGCCTGCGTTGCTGAAATTGAGTCTTTATTCCAATCAAGAAGACAACTATCCTCAAATTTAATTTTACTAGAAAGGATTAAGTTTCATAAATGGTCTTTACCTTTTAATCTGTGTTTTTCCTTTTAAACTTGCGTTCTTTAGATATTATACAGATTAAAAAAAATTTGTGATCGAAAGAAGTGGTAAAAATTTATAATAATAACTTACTTTTTCTGTAACAGGCCCTTGTCCACCATTTAGTTTCCACATTTTTTCGTAATCTGTACATTTACTCTTGAAGGGTTGAGGCAGGAGATTCTTTTCTGACTGAAATAAATGTAATTCTTTTCAATTATAAAGTGATTTTATTTTATTTTATAACCGTAGTTAAACAGCAGACCCAATTTAGGGTTCACGACTACTAATGTTCAACTCCGGAGTCTTGTAATTTTGAACCCAATACAGAAGACAAGGGAACCTCCTGGATCAATATTGGTAGAAATTTGCCTTCGTGGAGGAGTTTTAGATGGAGCTAACCCGCATTTGCGTTACATGGGAGGAAAACCATGAAAACTTTACACGGTGAGCTTGACGGCATGGAGATTCTAACCTATGATCTGTCTACCACTGAGGATATTTCACGTCAAAATATGGTCGGTGCGAGCCGGGTGCGGAATACGTATAGACCAGCTATCGCTGGGATTCGAACTCGTTTCACCTCATTGGATGCGAACGCTCTATCCCCTGAGCCACCACGGATCCTTATAAAGTGATTGTAAATTATCATTGTTTATGCTATCTATTGATTATTGATTGTTCTGTGTTGGTTAACACATATCCTTCCGCATAACGAAAATTCTTCATTTTACCGTCAACACCAGTAGCCAAATGACCTAATTGCAGTAATTGATTTAGTCAATGATGAACGCAATAATGCCGAACGGGCATGTGTTTAGGTAAATATAAAAATTTTGAAGCAGTTTCCAAAATGTGTGACTAAAAACATTAAGAAAGCATAATTTTCTCGGGATAATGGTAACTCTAAATTTAGAGTTATTTTGAGCAATTGTATTATTTTTCCGAATCTAGTTTTGTATTCAAATAACTTGTACTTATAATAAAGAACCAACATTATTAAGGTTAAAGATAATTAATTGTTTTTGTTAATTCTGTAACTAACTTTTTCAGTTTCTCTGTAGTCGTACTGGTATCCTTTTCAAATAATGTAATATTTTATAACAAATTATTACACATTTCAAATTTAATTATTATATGAATAATTAAGAGATATATTAAAAAAATTTAATTTTTCTTTTTTTCTATTCCACTTCTGTAATGCAGCGAGGAATTCTTTACGCAGCTTTGTTGCACAGCAACTAAAAAACTCGGATGTTGCTGACTAACTTCATTCATTATGGGAGGCGGGGCACTGTGGACTTGCTGATAATCAAGCCAAATTTGGCTTGGATATCAGCAAGTTCACAGTACACCACGTTAAAATATGGAGAGAAAAAATTGGAATAAGAGGAAAAATGGGAAGAAGGTTATAATCAATAATATCAGCAATCTGTAACTCCTGATCCAGTTGAAGAAAACAACGAAGTTATACATGTTTGTGAAAGCTGCTCGAAAGATAAATATGGTTATTTTTAAGAATTCAAAGCATTATTGTATGACTGAAGTTCGAATTTTCGCCTCAAAATATTTAAAAAAAAAGTGCAAAATATAATACTTGCCAGCCTTATATAGATTCGATAGACGGTGCCCATATTTAAAAAGAGACCTTCTCCTACCGGTGATGGGACGTGGAATGGGGAATGAATACTGAGCTGTGCACCACGAGATAAATGAGACGGATGATATTCCGAAACCTCCAGGTTAAGAATCAAGTGAATCTCTGAAAAAAATAATGCAGTAGGTTAATTATCTCTCTGATTTTGACGTGCAAATAACTCATACAAGTAAAATAATTTTCACATGCATTAGCAGTAAAATAATTTTTTTTTCTCCACTGAGGACTTGAGATATTCGCATCTCTATTGCATTTCGTTTAAGCTTTGACGTGTATTAGCAATAAGAGAGTTTTTTCTCTCCACTGAGGACTTGAGATATTCGCATCTCTATTGCATGTCTTTTAAGCCTTCACGTGCATTAGCAATAAGAGAATTTTTTCTCTCCACTGAGGACTTGGGATATTCGCATCTCTATTGCATGTCGTTTAAGCTTTGACATGTATTAGCAATAAGGGAAATTTTTTTCTCTTCATGTAAGCGTTCAGACTTGGCAGAGGTTTTGGGGTATGAATATCTTTAATGCAAGCTTTACTCCTTTACTTAGGCTTCAGCCCACCCAATTTTAAGATTATGACTACCAATGCTCAACTTCGTAGCCATGTAATTTTGAGCCCAATCCAGAAGAAAAAAGAACTCCTGAAAAAATGTGCTTATTTGCGGAAATTTCCCACATTTAGACCAAATATAACATTCTTCACTTTCTCTATATTGCTTAGTATGTGACATAATGCGTTCTTCCGAAATTGACACTCCAAAAAGGTCGTTGTTATTTAGAAGGAAAAAAAAACATTGTATCATTCCTCATTTCTACGTTTTTTAACTCACGTTTCAAGGAAGAGATTCTTGAATGGGTAGTCTGTCCAATCATATTATAATAAATTTAAGAAAAAAGGAAAATCGATTTCGTGGAAAATGGAATCTGTTCTTTCTTAAAGAAGAACTTTTGATTGAAAGACTTACTTGTTGATACGGGTACTTTCTGAGGTGTCTCATAGGGTTTATTATGTAAAGAGTATATCATCCAACAGTTGAAGGGAATTTCATATGAGAAACTCAAAGCTGGGACTAAAATGGGTGTGGAACTGTAGGAAAAAAATGTTCTAATTTAGAATTGATACTTGATCATGAATGAATTATCATTCTTTTCGTAATAAATCTAAATAAACAATCAGATAAATACAAAAAATAAATATAAACAAAATATAAGTAGCAAAAATACGTTTTTCTTAAAGAGCTAAAAGCTAAAAATAATAGGTATCGTCTGGTATCGTTAGTTCAATAACGAAACACGATTCATCGATTTCAAAAGACGTGGGAGGAAGGGATTCGGGGGTTTTAGAAGTTTATTAGGAAATTGATACTGGTATTGGCACCAGGTACAAAGCTCTAATTGAAATTTAAGTACTCTATCTAGTTCGAAATAGGTCGGAATTTCTATTAACGAAAAATTCTGTTTTGTCTAAAAAAAAGGGGGTGAAAAAATTTGAGTGCGTTTAGGAATCAATTTTAACTTGTATAGTTTTCAAGCACCAGGCTGCAATTGAAAATTGAACAATAGTCGAAAAGGGGTTATTGATAATATGGCAAACCAGTCTGTTGCTGTCAGGAAACGATTAAAACTTGCATAATCATCAAGTGACAATTCGATTATAAATTGTAAAGCCATCGGTCAAGGAGCTTTGAATACTATGTAAGCAATCCAGTTGGTCGTGAAGGCATTCTAGTAATTTCAAGAGCAATATAACAATTTGGATTGCAAGATTGTATCTTTACAAACACGAAAGTGATTTAAAACCACATAACAGTTTCGGTATAAATTGCACTGTCATCGGTCAAGGAGCTTTAGTTACCATGCAAGCAATCTAGTTAGTCGTAAAGACATTCTAGTAATTTCGTGAGCATTATAGAAATTTCGATTGCAAGATTGTATCTTTACAAACACGAAAGTGATTCAAAACCACATAACAGTTTCGGCATAAATTGCACTGTCATCGGGCAAGGAGCTTTAGTTACCATGCAAGCAATCTAGTTGGTCGTAAAGGCATTCTGGTAACTCCTTGAGCATTATAGCAATTTCGATTGCTAGATTGTATCTTTACAAACACGAAAGTGATTTAAAAAAACACTGCAGTTTTAAAATTTTCCGTCATGAAACGTATCAATTAGAATAAGTTTAGTAAAGACTTGATTTACCACCCAAATATTCCGTGGTGTTCTACTATTTGGAACCATCTAGACACTAATAACGGCTTTGATTTAAGTAGCTGCATTGCTTTATGAAAATGCATCATCATGTATTTACCCTTTGTTTGCATTTGAATGCATTAAACATAATGTACATTTTTAAATAATAATAATTGAAAATAATAATAATAATAATAAGGAAAATAATAATAAGGAAAATTATTATAATAATAAGGAAAATAATAATAATAATAAGGAAAATAATAATAAGGAAAATTATTATTTTATGACAAATTCTCTCGCATGCAGCAATTTTTTGCTGTTTCGGGTATTTTCTCTTTTTTTCACATAGTAAAAAATTTTAGTAATTTTAATTAGTACATAGTAATTATAGTAAAACATAGTAATTTTAATTAGGAGTACCTGCAATTTCTTTCTTCATCGTCAGTTTCAATAGTGCAACTGGAGACTAATGTTGAATACTGGTGACCCAATATCTGCTGTTGATAACGAGTAAGGTGTCGAAAACTATCCTTATCTCTTAAGGGAACCTGTAAATTCAACTAGTATGCAAGACTAATACAGTAAGCAAATAAACTAGACTAATAAAGACTAAAACAGTTTGCAAGACTAATGAAATCGATTTTTCTTCTTCTTTGAAACGATTTTGAATTTTAGATCAAAAATTGTTCAAATCAGTGCATAATTTTTCTTATCTATATACACCGAAGAGCCATTACTTTATGACCACCCTCCATCTGTAACAATGGACTCGCCCAGGTTTTCATGGTTTCGCGTCCAGGAACAATGTTTTCATGGGACACATTAGGACCCATAATCCTCATAGAACAATCCGTGACGTCTGTAAGCTACTTGAACATAGTTGCAGACCAGGTTCACAAATTCATGGCAACAGTTTACTGCAGGGGACTGTATTTATCAACTGGATAATGCACCATGTCATAAGGGTCGAATCGTCATGGATTGGTTCGAGGAACATTCCAGTGACTTTCAAGTCAAGTCTTTGCCCGCAAATTCACCTGACCTTAATCCAAAAGAGCATTTGTGGTCCTATTTGGGAAACCAAATTCGTGCTGCAACGCTACCTCCTCGCAATGTGAGGGAATTACAGAACCATTTGGTGAGCGCTTGGTACCAGATACCTCAGACTACCTATCAGCACCTTGTGGAATCAATGCCACGGCGGGTGCTAGCAGTTTTGAGGGCTAAAGGTGGTCCTACATGTTATCAGCAGGATGGTCATAATGTAATGACTCTTCTGTGTATATTTCTGGAACAAGTTTTGCTTACCTCTTTCGAAACATTGACAAGGTTGCAGTATTCCGCAAAGCGAGTACAAAACGTAGAATCAGTTTCCGGTGTTCCGCAGAATTGTGGATATTCCCGACAATAAGATGAGGCACGGATTCTATAAAAATATAATTCGACATCACGTATCTCGGGAATATATCAGAGCTCAGTTTATTAAAACTTGAAACTTATTATTGTTGATATATGTTATGCGTGAATAAACTCTGTGAAAAATTTCTACAAAATTATAATTTACAGCATTTCAAAATTAGTACTCTATAAATGAAACGCACTTGGATTTTAGTTGTAATTGAGACAGATGCTAGCGCAATTAATTTATTTTTAATTTAGTAACAGTTTGATTTTATTGTGTGTTCTTTTACATGCGAAACATTTTTCTTAAAATTTAAATTAGGATCAACTTGAAACAATTCCAATAAAACAATCATGCTTGTATATAAATAAATCATATCGCACCCCGGCAAGAAAAGTGACACAAGTCAAAAACAGCATTTGAGAAAAAATCAACTGAAAGAATACAATAAAACTTATTCTGAAATAGCACTAATCTATGGCACAATCTAGAGATGTGACACTTCTTGAGCTTGATGGGACACTTTATACATATTTTTTATTGACTTAACCTCAAAATTGCTGTTTTTTGACTTGTGTCACTTTTCTTACCGGGGTGTGATACGTGTATTTAAAAAACTCTTTGGATAGAGGCAGAGATGTTTAACATGTACATTTGAAAATCAAAAATTCGAAATAAATTAAAAACTAACAAAATATCAAGGTCACAATTTTTGTTGACATATATAATACGTGAAGAAACTTTTGTTCAAGTTTTCTGAAAAATTATAATTTAAACTCACTAAAACACGCTTGGGTTTTAAATAGCTCATACTTGAGACAAAGATACCTAAATTGTGTGATTAAATTTATTTTAAAAAACTGAATACTTTAGATAAAGATATAGTTATGGTTGGTTGAACTTTATTTGCAAAAATATCACCCTACAACTAAAATATGATTTTTAGATTAATGTAGTACTGAGATCCTTAACTTGGAAAAAATGGTATTTCTCACGTTTTATTGCAATTTAAACTGAAAATTCTGATGTTGATATTTATTTGTAGATAATTATATGATTATCAAGAGAGAGGTATAAATTGTAATATTTCATAACATATAACAAGGTAATGTTTTATAATTTTCCTACAGTTGGAAACAGAATGTATCGGGATATTATCGTCAAAAGGAAATTATTGTTAAACCGACATTTCGATCTCTTTCATTCCAGAAAAATTGCTCAAATTATAACTGGAGTTCTGTTATGAATGACAATACAAGTTTCAAACATTTCCTAATCGATGTAAGGAGAATTTATTGCAATTTTATTGAAAAATAGAACTCTTTGACGATTGATATTTCGATTCTTTTGCAAGAAGTCAAAGTGTTAAAAATTCGTCTGCAGCTCTGTTTCTAATGTCAATATAAGTTACAGCTGTTTCTTGACTATTGAAAGCTAAGTTTATCGTCATTTTATCGAAGAAAGTTCCTAGTCAATTGAAATTTCAACTGCTTTTTAAAACACTAGATTGCTCAAATTTCAACTAAAATTGTTTCGATTATTTATCAACAATTGATTCGACCATTTTATAGCTTGAACAAAAGAAGAGACACATAACTTAAAAGAAGAAAATAATTTTATAAAATAAAAATTTTGAAAGCTATGTTAAGTGAAATATAAGGCTGGAAATAATTTCTTTTAGCCACTACTGAAACATACAGGCGTTTTTATCAAGACAGATTACCACTGAGTACGTTAAATTTCGATGATTAGATCAAAATTTATTTTTAAGAGAAACCCATTTGTCTGCCAGCATCGAGAAGATTCGTTATTATCGCAATAATGCAAGCCTTACTACCAATTATTCTAACCTAAAGTAATTGGGCTCTTATAATTTAATTACAATAAGATAAGCAGTGAAATAATTATCAATCGAATTCTTTGAGTGCAGTTCACTACTTTTATAACGAAAATGAAAAACAAAAGCATAAAGGTGTCTAAAGACTATAACGAAAAACATAAAGGTGTCTATACTAAAACGAAAAACATAAAGGCGTCTATACTAAAACGAAGAACATAAAGGCGTCTTTACCAAGGATTGCAGCTGAGCACGTTAAATTCCGATGATTAGATCAAAATTTATTTTGAAGGGAGATCGTTTGTCTGCCAGCAATTAGTAACTTAAAGTAATTGGACTCTAATAATTTAATTCTAATAAGATAAGCGGAGTGAAATAATTATGAATCGAATTCTCTTTGTGTGCACTTCTATTTATATAACGAAAAAAAAAAAACATAAATGCGTCTAAATACTAAAATGAAAAACATAAAAGCGTCTACACATAAACGAAAAATATAAAGGCGCCTTTATCAAGAAGGATTGCATCTGAGTACGTTAAATTCCGATAAGTAGATCAAAAATTATTTTGAAAAGAGATCCGTTTGTCTGACAGCATCGAGAAAATTCGTTATTATCGCAGTAATTCGAGCCTTAATACCAATTAATCTAAACTAGTAAGCTTCTAACTTAGTAACGGGGCTCTTATAATTTAATTCTAATAAGATAAGCAGTGAAATAATAATCAATCGAATTCTTGAGTACTACTTATTATTAGCGAAATGGCTACTCACTCATTTATATTGCAAACTGTGAAAGCAGGAAGTTCAACTTCTGATGGCTGTACGACTTCCAATTCAACAGATGATGGATACTGTAAATACATTTCCACAAATTTCACACTCTGTATTGTAAACCCTATGGCTAATAAGATCTGAAACAGAAAACGTGCTTTCGATCTCCAAAAAGAAACTTTTTTGTACTTCACTTCCATGAACTTCAAAAATTAAAAACAGCTGTCATTTTTTTAGGCATCAAAGTTTCTCACGAACTTAATGAATGGAAAATTTCAGTATATCCTGCTATTGAAATGTCTTAAGTTATTATTTAAGATTTAAATTTTTTGCTGCTCAAAAATTAACATTTGCACAAAAAAAATTCTATCTATAATTTTTATAGCCTATAGATACAACAATATTAGAAATGAATAAAATAGTAAAAAATTAACCGAAAATTAATTAAACTAAATAAGAATTAATCATTTAAAAAAATTTATTATTTTGTAGTAATTAATAAAAAAATTATCAAAAGTAATTTTTAAAGAAAATAATTAATTAAACGTCAAGACTGAGAATTGAGTTAAGACCGAGGATTAAGAATAAATAATTAAGAAAAATTTGAGATGAATATAACATCATCTATCACTTTAATCAGTTAATTAACTTAATTAGTCTCCATTTCTTCAGATTTTTGAAAGAATTTACGTATGTTTTAAACAGCAACAGTAAATTTTATTTAAAAAAAATTCCACATACAATGAAAAGAGTAAGGCTATTTTTTATAAAGATTATTAATTATAGGTAAATAATTGAAATTCTTTAAAAAATACGTATGATAAATAGAATGCAATCAAAATTACGATTAATGAAGGAAATTTATTGAATTTTGTTTAAGAAAACTGTTTTTATGCAACGTCTTTTAGCAGCAAAAACAAACTTAGGGAGATATAAATCGTTATAAGATAATTAAAAAGTAATTAAATCGTTAGCCATCATCAAAATTCATTCGTAAAAATGCGCATCTTTTTCTGTTAAGCCTAACTAGAAGAATTCTTTGAATGGTTGTTTCCTATAATGCAATACTAGCAATTATGAATGTTTGTAGAAATATTGAAAGTAAAAAAAATAAATAAATGAATATATGAAGTTCACGTGTCTCAAAAAGAAAAATATTTGATTAATGACTTTTTACAAGGTTCAAATGGACATTGAAATCGAGCCTCCACATTTATTCTTTTTCAACAACCATACTTGAAAGAATGACAAGCAAAGTAAATAACGCGTATAGTATAGATTTTTTGTTCTTTAGTGTAATTATCACGCACGCTCACTGATGCACCATCAATTAATAATATCTCTTTTTCTCGTTTCATTGTTTACGTTGTTTCAGAGTAATTTTTTTTTCAAAAACACCTGTTATTCCCTTCACCTGATCGTCATCGTACGACTCATATCGATTATCTATCATCGATGAAAATATCATCTAACAAAGGGGTAATTCTCAAGTTGTATTTCAGTTATCATAAACTGAGTTATTTATGTTATCTTTTGAGTAGACCTGACCAAACTGAATCACTGGCTGACTGATAATGTATAGTTGGCGATTCATAGTATGGTTAATGAATAATCGGTTAATGGATGAATAATTAACTGGTTAATGAATTCTTTACTATGGCATTGAAGTTTATTAAGTTATGAATAAAATCAATTAATCTTTTAAGATGCCAACTGGAATCATAATAACGTTTCTAATTGTAAAAGCACGTTATAAAATCGTTTTCTAAGAGAATGTTAGAATTGTTTTAAAAGAATTATTTTATCGTTATTAAATTTTTCTTATCATATAACTGTATAGTCCAATTGTAACTAAGTTATTTTGAATTTTTTCTTTTTTTATTAAGATGAATATTTAAGTCGAAAGAAAAGAACGATACGAGAAATGATCAGGGCTTCTACGAGTCATAATTTCCACAGGTTAAAATTTAATACAGTGGGAGTTATTTTACTTTAATGCTAGCAAACATTTTCTTTATGATTAACTTTAAAATTTTTGCAACTCATGTCGGTGGATTTGATCAAAAATTAAAAGCTATTGATATAGATTTAATCACAGTATAAAAACCTCACAAATAGTTAAAAGTATCCATGCATGATTCAATTTATCACCTCTTTTGAAACTTTTTAAAGTCCCTGGTATTCCATATGAATGATAATGTCGCAATAAACATCAAATAATAATAACTTTATGACTAACATAATTAAAAAAAATTATAACTAATAATTATAAATACATAATAATAAAATAAAATTTAAAAACTATGATTTTCAAAGTGGACTAAAAAGAACGGAACAAATAGTTGTTTATTTTTTGAAGAAATTATTTTTGTATTCTATTTTTCACCTAAAATAAAAATCACACTGTGTGCTTTCAAAACAACGCAGGGGAATACTCGATGGTGATAGAAGCTAATGACAAAAGCGATGCATCTTACAGGTATGACTGGATACATTTCCATTTTAGATGTTGTTGTGGCGCCATCTATGGCCGAGAATTCGACTTCTGCCACACCCATACGTAACACCCGTTTATAGGACGGACCCATTCATACAACCGTTTATTCACCCACAGATCGTAATTAAGACCTGAACCAGGGAACGATCTGTCTCCATTCCAGTACCCCCAGAAGTATAATCTGTTATGGGAACAGGGGGGACATAGTGACAAGACAGATTTAACGTGCACCAGTAACTATTTACAACCAGCTGAATTGAAACTCCCGTTCGTGAGAACGGGAGTTCAGTGCCCTACCAACCAGGCTATCCCGGCGGTCTCTCATTTTAGATTAAATAGAAGTCTCTGTCCAATTAAATAGAAGTTTTCTTTCAAATTCAAATGCACTTAAAAAAATCAGTTTATGGAATTTTCTTTTTTTTATTAATTCTTTTTAGTTTTAGGTTGTAAGTAATTTAAATTTCAGTAGATGGCAGTGTGGGGATGAATTTTGCTTGAAATATTCAGAAAACAGAAACTGTAATTCGTATTATCATCAGACAAATACTTTCAGTTTCAATTTGAACACACTAGTTAGACGGAGAGTGTTCGAAACGATTGGTGATGAATTCTATTTGGTAATAAATTCTGCTTTTAACGGCCAGAGGCTCACGGACAAACCTAGACTTTGAATCTCCTTTCAATAAGGTGTAGGACTTAAAATGAGACTTTTCGGGAAAATTTTGAGTTTTAAATAATGTAAAAAATTAAATTCACTACATTTGTCTTTTTTTAAAAATTTTTTTAATTGAAAATTATTTAACAGCTTTACATAATGTTTTTAAGATCCTGTAACTAGATAACTACATAAATTTCTACTCGATTAGTTTCAAAATTTAATTACTAACTGGAGAAAGAGCAGAATGGAGGAAGGTTCAAGGTAAGGCTCTGGCTCACAAAAGGCTGTTATGCCAATAGAAGAAAATTTAAAATGTAACAGCGTTTGTTACTAATGTAGATTCTCCATCGCATAGATGTTTTTGATTGATTTAATGATCATTTTTTTTAGTTAATAATATTAGTTGCTCCAATTTGATAAAAAAATTTAATTAAAAAAACTATACATAAAGGAAATTGGGTACAATGTCATATTACACGTTAGTCAAATAAAAATTTGATATAGTTATGGGACCCATAATTAAAAAATAAAACTGAGGATATTTAAAAGAGAAAAGTATTTTACGCTGAAATTCGTTTTAATTATTTTTCGTGAATTTGGTGCCCCTTTAACACTTTACCGAGGTACAGATGTCCCTTCCCCCCACTAGCTACGGTAGGTGAGAATTAAAATGTGCATTGTCAACATTTGCAGAGATCCAGCTAAGATAAAATCACTCTAGCTAGTCGATGAGTTGTCAGAATTTTGACAGACGATAAATTCTAATGGAGAATAAAATATTTATAAAGTTTGCATGTAGCGATGGAATTTTTTATTACCATCAGCGAGAGAACTTGCAATTGAAATTTAAGCACTTCAGCTAATAAAAGAAAGATCGAAATTTTAAATGATCACCTTTGGCAACGAAATGGAGAAATATTCTGCGAGTAGCGATTAAGAAACTATTGAAACTTGCCTCTATGAAGTGGGCACAAGTTCAGATTTGAGAACTAATCTACGCTAGTCGGATTGCTCGAAGAAGGTTCAGGAAAATAAATGTCTTTTTTTAGGCTATTATATCGCAATAAAGTTTTTTTTGTATTAAGAAAACGATTGAAAATGGCATTGCCAACAAAAACAAAGCTTTGTAATGATTTGAGTGTTCTAGCTAGTCGGAAAGTGGCTGAAATTTCGATTACAAGATTATTTCCTCAAATGACCGAAGGTGAGTCAATAGAAAGGTAGTAAAAAATTGATAATAAATGAATAAATGTGATGAATATTAATAATAAATAAATAAATAACGATAATATAATTTTAAGGCTAATGATGAATGTGATTTGTGATGTGTGATTTTTTCTGCGAGACACCGATATACTTTTTTTTTTTTATAGTGAAAAAATTCATTGCACAAAAAACGAGAAGAGCATTAGCATAAACGCAATGATAGTCTACTATTATAATCTTGTAGTTGATTATATGCCACTGTGCTAACGAGTACTTAGATTACTCTCTTTGTTCATACAATCTAATAAATAGAAAACATTGATAGAAAACCAATAACCTTTATTGAACTATTCACAAAATGGAATCAGATAATTGGTTACAAAAGAAGTAATTGCACTTTTTATTCCAATAAGATTCAACTGTCAGTAGACACGAAATGGTTGTGCTTGATTCCTCTAGATGTTCACGAGAATCTGTTGAGAATCATAAGGCAACTTCGTTTCAACGATGTTCTTCTTCTTTCGAAGAAAAGCGATACAAATGAATATTCCTTTTTCTAAAAAATCATAGACTTGCAGCAGCGATATGCCAAGCCAGAGTCCAACGTATCCCCCGATCCAGCTTAATATTCCAACTGGCTAAAAAGATAAAACAGAGATTCAAAAATAAGATTTTATTTTATATTTTATAACCGTCGTTGAACAACCGATCCAATTTTGGGTTTACGACTACTAATGTTCAACTCCGTTGCTTTGTGATTTCGAATTCAATCCGGAAGACAAGGGAACTCTTGGATCACGTATTGGGAGAAATTGTGGCTTCGTGCAGGAATTTTTGATGGAACTAACCCGCATTTGCGTTACATGGAGAGAAAAACTGCGAAAACCTCCCACAGCTGGCCCGATGAAAAGGGGACTCTAACCCATGACCCGTCTACCACTGAGGATATTTTACGTCAGCACTGTGGTTGGTACGAGCCCGGAGCGGAATTCGTATCGACCTGCCATTGCTAGTATTCGAATCCGGGCACTTCATTGGAAGGCGAAAGCTCTATCCCTTGAGCCATAACGGCTCAAGTGATATAGTATAAGGCTATAAATCTAAGGCGCATTTGCTCATGCACTGGGTAGCAGTATACAATCGAAACAGGTTCCTCTCAATCTTTGGCATTTTTTGGCCCCAAGGTACGTGCCCAAAATTAAAAGATCTTTGTTAAGATTTTCACATGTCTTTTAAAAACTACTGAAATATATTAAAACATTTTATGAATATTTAAGGCATTTAATATGGATATTAATAACGAGGTGGACCGGTTCGATTTCCAGCGATTGCCGGTTGAAACGATTTCGGCACCCGGCTCGCACCTACCACAGTGCTCGCGAAAAAATATCTTAAGGTGTAGACGGATCATGGGTTGGACTTCCCCTGCTCTCGGGCTCACCGTTGGTGGTTTACACGGTTTTAATCTATATGTAACGCAAAGGCGGGTTGGTTTCTCCTAACAGTCCCCCACGAAGGCAGATTTTTCGAATTAATCTATTAATTAACTTTAATAATTAGGCTTAGTTTTATATGGGAGAAAAATAGTAATTATTTAGTAAAAAGTAACTGAAATAAAAATTTCTTTTTGTTAACCTTAGTAGGCTTGACTTTAAATTCTTTTTACATTACTTGTTTTTAAAAAAAAAGTTATCCTTAGTTCCTAAAAGTGAACTTTGTTCATGGCATCAATTGAAGAGGCATAAAAACTTTAATGGTAAAATCATTCTTTTCTCTGAAAAAAAACTTCAACTTACATTAAAGCGTGGTGTGTACTTGAAGGTGGTTATTTCCATATTTTCTAAAAATATCTGAACAAGAGTGTAACACCTGAAAGAAAGATATAGATAGATATGTTTGCCAAAACTCAACACTATTTGAAATAAAATGACAGAACAGTTTCTGAGAAATAACAATTACCATCTTTTCAAAATAACGAGAGGCATTTTTAATTCCTTGAAATTATTCAACTGATTTATTTTAGATTTCATACAAAATTTTGTCATTTAGCGATATAGAAATGCATGTGTATTTACCAAATCATTTATAAAATTTCGATGATTTCTAAATTAAAACATGAAAATTAGTTAATAGAACAGAACGAGGGGCCGATCTCTACAGAAAGTGTGCCACTATCTGAAGAAAAAAAATTTCATGGCATTCCTAACTTTCATAATATACTAAAAAATATTAAAGGACGAAAAGATGTTATTTATAGGCTGGTAATGTTATTTTTTAGCAAATAGCTCACTTTTATCTCTTAATCTGAATCGTTGAAATTTATTGTTTATGTCTAGAATGTTTACGAGAACACGAGGACAAAGTTTACAAGCACAATGTTTACGAATGTTTACTGTTTACGTCGCACTAGAGCTGCACAATTGGATATTAGTGACAGTCTAGGAAATGAGTACCGGTCTGGGAAGGGCTGAATTCAAGCACTTTACGGTAGAACAGTTTAACACTGCTTTTCGAAGCTCTGTCACAAAGCAAAATAAAAAAAAAATACCTGTGCGAAATTTTATAACTGATTTATAAGGAATTTTGAGTGTTATGTATTAATCACTACGTACGGTACCTGCTTGTCATTATTCTCCAATTAAGTATTCAAATAACATTTCAAGTTTGACCAATACAAAAGTTATTACAAAAAATTAATAATAATTTGAAAGAAAAAAAATTACATTTAAACTTACGTTAAATCTTTGGGGACAATGCAAGAGTTCTGCAAATAAAAGTACTAGTTTTTAAAATGAAGTCAATAATAACTACATAATCTATATATGGATATCTTTCATGTTTCAACATAAACTCGGGCACATATTTACTGACAACTACTCTTTATCCATTGGCAACACTATAGTTATTATTTATTTTCTTAGATTATTTTTAGTAATATTTAAGTAGTGTTAAAAAATTGGTTGTACATTAAGTATTTATTTAGATTCATTTTGTATCAGTAGAAATTTTTTTGAAGTGACACATTCTAAATTCTTTCACAAAGATTCTTTCGCAAAGATTTCAATTCCTTCATTATATATTTACACAGAGACTTAACACAAAGACAGGCATAAAACTACGTGGAACATAGACAAACTAATTATGCATCGAAGTTGCCAGGTACACAAAACAAAACTTATATAACGGTTACAGTAAAATACAAAAGTAAATAATAAGTTAAGTAAGAAGAGTAGACAGGAAAGAATAATATTTCAACTCATTCGATGTGCGATACGGCTCTGCATTTGATTAACTTATAGTTAATTAACTTTCTAACTTATGTAGAGAAACTTAGCTCAACTTTAATACACCATTTCGCTGATACAGATTAGCTGGAGCTGACGTTATGGGTCACATGAGAGGGTATGGGAGATCTTCTTCTTCTTCTAAGTTGAAGTGTGGGTGATCTTCTTCTTCTTCTAAGTTGAAGTGCAAGTACCCAATTGGAAGAGGGATTGAAGAATTAGAACATTTTAATACAGTTGTGCTAAGTATTCGGCTTGGTTACTATTAAAGTTTATATGTTGTACAAGATAATTTTGAAAAGTGACCAAGCTGATCGCCTAAAGTGGTTGTATATTGATAAAATGTGTTAAACTTTTACTTTTTTTTAGAACAATAATAAAATGAAGTCTGAATAAAATTAAAAATGGAAAAATAGGCTGTTGGAAAAGTATTCTATTTGAACCTTTTTTTATTATGTAGTACCATATATTCAAAAATTACATATTACTTTTGTAGATTAGTTCCAGTAGCTACAAAAAAATGTCTGATACGGAAAATCCTATAGCATCACAGAAATATTTTTGAAATAAATTATGAAATAAAAAAAGAAATAGAATTTATCTAAATTTCACTTAAAGCTGTGACCTAAACTCAATAATATCCGTAATTATGTTTTTTTTTGTTGTTTTTTTGATAATCGTTGTGTGTAAACTAATTTTTTTCTTAACAATTAGCATAGTTGGTAAAAATTTACTTGATTCTTACTCGAAATCCCTCACTGTTAGAATCTTGTACTTGAAATTGAAACTTGTTAAATCTGAAAGATAAGAGAAATAAAAATTAACAGATAAAATTTTACTTTCTTAAAAAAGAAAGCTAAGCATTTCAAATTGAAATTATGAACATGTTTGAATCAATATATAAACAAGTATGAAGCAATGTAACAGAATGAACAACGATGTCTACATGTCCAGTATTTTTAAACGAAATGTCCAGGAATTTATAACGTGATGAGAAAAATGTTCCTCCCAGATAGCAAAATAAGGTTTATATTCACTCAGTAAAAACCTTTTAACGTAATCTTAAAAAGGTTTTCTTATGCGGTTTACGTGTAAACCTTCTAATCTTAAAACGAAGTCTGTCACAGTCTGCTCTATTCTACGCTCATTACCCTAATCCGAAACCTCGGAAAACAACCTTCTATACAAAAACCTTAAATAGAGGTTGTCTTAGCGGGAAAAAATCATTGAAAAAAAGCTAGTCTTAAGGTGAAAATAATCTTAAATCTAGGTAATTATAAGGTTTCTTTTTACAAAGTCTTGTATGCTCAGCTAAAATCCTCCTTGTCATGAAATTTTAGTGGACAATGCAATTTGATCCTATCGCTAGTGTGACGTCAGCTAATACGTCATTATGGATCTAAATAACCATTTTACCTAAGTGACAATACTTTTTTGAAAAAAAGCTTTAAAACTAATTTTTAATCCTTTTAGGATAAAAGGATTGAAACTGCAATATTTTTGCTTTATTGAAAAAAGGTTTTTAGTGCAAACATTTTCGTGACACTAAAAAAAAAATTCCGGCATAAGGTTGTCGTAAGGTTCTATGCTTTCTGGGCCTGCATCTGACGTCATTAAGATACACTTTTCATTGGCAGGAAAATGCCTCACTAAAGAAAAAGTTTAATACAATTTATACTTACTTGCAAGGCATTGAGCATTTTTTTGCACAAATAGGCATGGTCTTCACGTGAAAGTTTGCAATAACTGAAAAATAAAAGAGACACACAACATTCGTTTAGTCTCTCATATCAGAATTATTTTCACATTTTAATCAAGCACACGATCAATATTTACACACATACCCAGGGTCCTCACCTTTATGAAGGGTACCTAAATATTTGCTCACTGATTAGTTCGATACTTTCAATTGTTGTTGTTGTTGACGTATGCCTGTTTAAGCAGAGGGGGTGAGATTGTTCTTGTTTTCCAGTGGCGCCATCTATGGCCAAGAATTCGACTTCTGCTACACCGTACGTCACAGCCGTTTTTAGGGCGGACTCATTCATGCCTCCATTCATTTATCCACAGATCGTAATTTTGACCTGAATCAGAGAACGATCGATCTCCAATCCAGTACCCTCAGAGGTTTTGATTTGGTATGGGAACATGGAGGACTTTTGCGACTCGACAGATTTAATGTGCATCAGTCACTTTACTACACGGGGAGTCTTCGGCCGGCGTGGTTCGAACCCACAAACTCTCGGACGCCCAGCGCCTTACCGACCAGGCTATCCCGGCCGATACTTTCAATTAAACAAGTAATATTAAAAAGAAATTCAAGTCAATTCTTATTTAGGTCAATAAAGAATTTTTTTATTTTAGTTACTTTTTAATTTATTACTTTCATTTTAGTTACTTTTTAGTTGCTTTAATAATAATTTTTTATTAACAATAATAATAATTTTTAGATTTCTGCATAGTAGCCAGTTTTTTTCCCATTGAAACATTTTCAAGTAAGAAAATATTAAATTTTTTCTGACTATTATTAATCATTCGATTACCCTTACCATAAACTACTCCCATTTTGTGCGCTTAAAAAAATAATTTTATAACTATCAAATTTATTATATACGTTTTTTCACAACTTGAAACTTTAAATATTTGCTTAATTTCTCGAACTTTTGCATGAGCTTATCTTATTCCTTAATGTTATAACATGAAACAAAACTTAAAATGCCATTTGACAAATGATTTGAGGTTTTTTTAAATTTATGAATTATTTCCCTTTATAAATTTTACTCTTTTTACTTCTAAAAAAATTTTAAAATTTACATAAAAAAATTTAACTTTGTAATGTGAATAATAGTAGAAATAAATAGAAGTAATAAATGTGAATAATAGTAGAAATTAGCGTATGGTCAAGAAAAGAGAAAAAAACCACGAAAACCTCCCACGGTTGACCTGATGAAAAGGGGACTCTAACCCATGATCCGTCTTTCACTGAGGATATTTTACGTCAGCACTGTGGTCGGCACGAGCCGGGTGCTTTTTTATGCTTTTTTATCTTGTGTTTTATGAGTTCGTTCACTTGAACATTTTTTTATGTACTTTACTAGTAGTTATAAATCGAGAATTTATAAATTGGATTATTTATAAGCACCGAAGTTTAAATGCGAGGCTGATTCCTTACAGTAGATTTTGAAAGTACCACAATTAAAATCAAATTAACTTTAGACAATGTAAGCTAAATGATTTTTTTTCATAAATGATTTTCAATCCAGAAAATATTTTAACATAACATTGCTAGAAAAAAGTGGTTCTCTAGAAATATTATAATATCAGCTTCAGAATCGATGTTGTTGTCGCAGGCCAGTAAGGCAAGAAGGTGCGATTGTTCTTATTTTCCAGTGGCGCCATCTATGGCCAAAAATTCGACTTCTGTCACACCCGTTTATAGGCCAGAGTCATTCTTATATCCATTCATTTATCCGCAGATCGTAATTTGACCTTAATCAGAGAACGATCAATCTCCAAATCAGTACTCCCAGAGGCGTATAATTTGTTATGGGAGCATGGAGGACTTTGTGACCCGACAGATTTAGCGTGCATCAGTGACTATTCTTACCAACGTGAGTCCAGCGCGGCTATTCTGCCCTTCAGAATCAATAGAAACTTAATAAGAAATATTTTAATTAAATAGTTATAGAGTTATGGTTTTTCAAATTTATCTGCGTAATTTTTGAAGGACACAATTTGGAAGAAAAGCCTCCCTTTTTTGTGTGGTAATAGAAGAAATGATCAAAATTGAAAATGCGACTAGTTTTAATGAAGGAAATCAATGATTCGATGAAATATCTTGCATTTACCTTTTTCGCAAATGGTTTCATTGTGTGGATAATCAATACGAGCATCGGCACATCCATAGTCATTCAAAGAGTGATCCAGTTTGCATTTTTCTTTGCACATCTGAAATATATAGTATTCTTTCGTAAAATATAGGATAGCGACACTTATATAATATTTTTAAGAATTTTATATCGAAAAGGAATTTTCTTAAAGTTTAGATTTAGGCCAAGAAAAAAAAAGTCAAAATCATTATTGACAAAGGCGAGACTGGAAACATCGAAACTTGTTTGATAGCATTAATACACAGAGATTAGTGGAAAGGAGATTAATAGACACATCTCCAAGCCGTTTTTGATCGCTTCATTTTTCTCTTGTTCGTTATTCAACGGATTTTGATAGACGTTTTGTTTGATCTTTGTCTAAACATTAATTTAAATATTAATCTGCATACCTTTTTCTACTTCATTTTAAACAAATATTCTAAAACTATATATA